GCGCGATGGGATTGGTGTAATATGGGGGCCTGAATAATTGCCTATACGATCTTGGGGGATTCCTTTAAAGGGGTCTATAAGGGCTACTATAATAGGTGTTGTAAGGATTTAATATAGGGGCCTTAATCATCACCTCTACGATGTTTTTTTGGGGGGTCCTTATTAAAATCCCAGAATAATATGCCCCAAAATCCTTCCTAATATTAAGGCCCCCATAGCAAGTTGTGGCTGGAAGGAACCTGGAACCTTGACTCCGGAGTTCAAAGAAAGACGTATTAGTGTAAACCCGTAACCCTAAACTATACTGAAATTAGAACCCAAGCAAAAACTATATTTTTAGCTGTTTCTTAGGGATTATAATAACCAACATTTACAAATTACTTCTAAGTACCCCTAGGTAAACCCTTCCATGAAAGCCTCCTCGCTGGAAGAAACATACACGAACTGTGGAATAGGGAGCCATCCCGGAGTCGTAAATTTTGGATCCTCATCGGGCGGTACCAGTAACATCCTAAAACTGCAAGTGCTAAACCCTTCGGTTCTAAATCAGAAGTCTATCGGGGGCTTGCGTCGGAAGCTTGGGAACAGAAGCAGAATGCCTCGGACGGAGAAGCTTTCCAACGACTGGCACCTGTAGGGTCCAGCGTTGTCAAGGGCATCTAGAACCTACCGAGACTCCTGTGACGCCACTGGTCCATGGTGCCAGAAACTCCGTAGAGGCGGCCGACATACGAGTTTCTCAAGATGCTGCCCTCCTTATCAGGGGGTCGCATGTGATAAGGACGCTTCTACGTGGCTTCTTCGCGTTTTGGAACTGCCCCCATATTCCAGCAAGCGAATCGTGGACAGCATGCCACGTTTTCAACAGCAACAGCAGTCGGGTCTGCAGTTCGCAGAACTCACTTTGCTGCTTGCCTGCCACAGGAATCAATCGTTTGTCTGAGCACGTGCGAATACGTGCATACTTGGAGGTTCATGGGTGGTTATAAGCGGGGTCATACTTATAACTACCCATCAATATCCAAGAACTCAGCTGCAACATGGCGGCAATCCCGAAGGTTGAGCCCGTAACATCTCAGGCCAAGGTTGTTTTAAATGTGTATTGGCTTTTTTATCCAGCTTACCAGTATCTGGCATGCACACTACACGGCCACTCCTGACAGCAGAAGCAGCCACAAAGAAAAGCCCTCTCTCACAGGCCAAGGTGTAGCGTTGAGGGTTTAGGGTTTTTTCTACTACCCGGAACTGCTCCCTAAACCCTAAACCCTAAACCCCTAAACCCTTAAACCCTAAACCCTAAACCCTAGGGTTTTTTCTACTACCCGGAACTGCTGCCTTGACAGCCGCAAGGTCCTAAACATCGACCACCACCCCCAACTCTCAGCCTGAAACCTAAAAGCCCGTTCCACTCTCTTTGGGCTTCGGTTATTTAGGGTGTAGGGTTTAGGGTTTAGGGCGGTAGGGTTTAGGGTTTAGGGTTTAGGGTGTAGGGTTTAGGGTTTAGGGTTTAGGGTTTAGGGTTCAAGGTTTCGGTTAGTTAGGGTTTACCTGTAGCCGAAAAGACCTACCTTTTTAAGGAACTATATATAGAAACCATAATAAGGAACCCTAAAAAAGGTAGGCCCTTTCGGCTACAGGTAGGGTTTAGGACCTCGGCTCAACAGCAAAGAGGCTCGACCCGGTAATTCCGAATAAGCTCCAAAAAAAAACAAGTAGCTGCACACTGTTTAGGGTTTAGGGTGCTGCTTGGCCTGCCTACCGCCGCAACCCTGGACGCGCGAAAACCCCATATCCAACAGCAAACAAACATGGGTAGTTGTCAAAATTATGACCCCTTTATGGGTACCCTAAATAATAGGTGCCGTATTATAATAGGGACCCAAAAAGGGACCATAATTTTGACAAACACCCACATGCATGGAACCTCAGTCTTCCCACCCTGCCTCTGCTCTCGGATCAGCTCTTGCATCACTCGAAAAGTCATGATTGCACCTGGGCCCAGAGCTCGCCAGAGGGCTTTTTGCTTTTTGAGGGCCCTCTTCTACCTGTTGATTGGCGCAGCTAGAGTTTCTATACCAGACGGCTTTAGAGGTTAGGCTTTAGTGAACCGACCTCAGGGATATCCAGAGACGAAAACGCGACTTCTTCAACGACATCCGCTCTGCGGTTCAAAATGAGCAAAGGCCTTGACTGAGGCTACACCCTAAAACTTAGGTGCAGTATTGTTGATGGTATAAATCCTGCATTACCTTAAGGACCCTAAACTATGGGAAGTATAGTCTATTCCTTATTATGGGTAATGCAGGATTTATATCCCTAAACCCTAAACCTTAAAACCCTATAGATCCCTTAAAGGAGCCCCCTAAAGGTACCCTTATAGATCCCTTTGAAGGTACCTCCGGATTTATATCATCAACCGTAGCACACGCCGTGCAAGATCTAGAGCCTGAGCAGATTCACACCCTGCTTGTATGACTACTCAGTGCTTCACTGAAATCGCGCTTCGGGCCTTTTGTGACAAGAGGTTTGTCAGTATTGCTGTCGCTTAATGCCAACCTCATATTCAGAAACCCTCGCGTAATTGCAAATTCCGACTCCCAGTATATAATTAGATCTCCCCCCGGGGTATGCATAGTGAAAGCGGCCGAAGCGAAAAAAAGTAAGGATAAGGAGAATCTTGCTTAGATGAACGCTGACTGAGCTGAAAACAGACCCCGCTGGCCCATGCAAACTGCACACCCAGATAGGGTTTAGGGTTCCCTAAACCCTGCACCCATGTGTCACAGAAGAAGGCTTTGGGGCCTCTAACACTGCAGGTAGGCTTTCAGGCTCGTTGGGGTCTCAGCGGGGCTCTAATTACAGTGGGCTTGGGAGGCGGGTGGCCGAGGAGGGAGGGGGTTGTTTCTTAATTTGAGATGAACATTACAATGATTATTCAGGTTCTTCACGTCCCTGGCAGTAAACTAGTTGCTAGTCTGAGTCCGGTCATTTGCTGCCTGAAGTTGCTGATAGATTTGGCAGTAATGGTTCCGGTGGTAGTGATAGTGATGGTGGTGTAATCAGCAGCAGCATGATTCCCAATACCCAATCGTGGTTCTACATGGTCATAAAGACTGCCGTCATCGTCAACATCATCATCGTTATCAACATCAACAACAATAGATCAACCACCTCGTTTGTCAATGTTAAGATCAACACAAACACAGGAATGACGACAACAGTACAGCCAGCATCACTGTCAGTAACACAGGCAACGAAGAAATAACAGAAACGTTTGACTTAACTGTCCACACCAACAGCAGCAACCACAAAAAGATGCAATGAAAATATGCTGACCATGTCCACCATGCCAACAACGACCTGGAACCGCAACGGCAACAACACAAAAAAGAAGCTGCAACAGCAAACACAATACCAATCTGAACCTCATGCTCGCCAATGCCAGCGCCACAAAGCGAGCTTTTATTAATATGCATACATACATATATATATATATATATATACACATATATATATATATATATATATATATTATACATATGTATTATACATATATATTCAATTTCAAAGAGCCCCGGGCTTGAGGTTTGAGGCTTCGCGATCTCACTTATGGAGCTCAGGGGTTCAACAACAACCGGCCTCTGGGTCTCCCTTAAGAAAGGACTCATATAATGGTTTAGGGTTTAGGATTTTTTTTTAAGTATAATGGTTTAGGGTTTAGGATTTTTTTAAGTATAATGGTTTAGGGTTTAGGATTTAGAGTTTAGCGCTTAGGTCTAATCCAGTCTAATAGAATAGAAAAATGCTTTCGATCAAAAGTGTGTAAATATACATATATATATATATACATATATACATATATACATATATACATATATACATATATAAAGACTTCATCCTCGATGTTGGTGGACTGCATCAGAACTGGCAGCGACACGACAGGCAATCACTTCAAGAAAAGCGGCTCGCCACAGCCGCGACGGCCGCAGTTGCGAAGATGATCGACTGCTGAGTGGGCACTGAATGGCCCCAGTGGAACTCATTTGCAAGCCTCGGCTATCTTCCTTGCCATCGGGGTTTCGCTGCTTCTCATGTAGGGCACTGCCAATGAAAGACTGCAACAACGGCCACGACGACTCGACGACAACGACGCTTGCAACGCAGGCGATGACGATTCTCGCGACGACGACGACGACGAACGCGCCCAGAAATAGGTTTGCTCGGCAGCAAGTCATGACAACATGGTTGCCACCAATACTCTGGCAGCATGGACGTAATTTGCCCCCTCAACTAAACTCCAAACCTCCCCAACCACACTCCTCTCTGACATGATATGATCATCTGGACCGCAACGGATGCTCTCGCCCAACAGATCGTTTCTACTAGGGAAGCCCGGTGTAGCGGACCGGAGGCAACAACAGTAATGATGACAAGAAAGAATAGACATGGTCATAAGACCACTTGGCATTATGGCGATTATATTTACAATCAACGTTCTAAATGTCGACCATCAACATGGCCTCGAAGTAGAGTGCCACCAGGCATGCCATTGGATCAAGCATTCCAGGACAGAGCCGTAATTGCAAACTTACACTCCATATTTCAAGGGTATCTGTGTTCGACAAAACATGTTTACTGTATGTAGGCGGCTAGACTGCACACAGTAAACCCCGATGACTTTACGGAGGCTTAGGTTGAAAGGCGGCGAGAAGTCAGCTTTGGAAATGTGGGTTCAGGGCTGGTATAAGTGAAGTCCCTAGTACACCTAAACAGGAAGGTCTTAAGTAGGAGTTGTACCCTAAAGCCCTAAATTGTGGGGTCGAGGGCTGCACAGCTCAGTTCAAGGTATACTTCTTCTCACATAAGACGCCGGAAAAGCGTGGGAAAGGCAGGGGTTCAAGAACCGGAGCTCTGATTCGTTCGAAGGCTGCTACGCGTCGGGCTAGCTGGGTTGTCTGGGGTTTAGAGTTCAGGGTTTTCAGGGCATGGGATCTTAAGATTTAACGTCTAGGGTTTCGGCCGGCTGGCAAAGTCGACACGCTCAAGATCATGAGCATCGAGGTGAAGAGCAAGCAGATCTCGATCCTGCAGACTTTGCTTTGTCCGATCATGTAACTGGACTTCTCAGCCCGAGCCACGAAGTCTAAGTCATCGCAACCCTCTTCAGACGCCCCAGAATCCCGCATGGAGGCAGGATTCAGCGCAAATAGCAAGACCCAGCGCTCCAGTTCCACTCCGGCGTGTGGTAAGGCTGGTAGCGACAGTACAGAAACAGCGACACCCAGACCACCATGCCTGGACACGGTTGGGAGAGCTTCATCGGGATCAGTTTGGGAGTCTGCGTCTCTTTATGATCGAAGACAGACGTCTGCGACATATCTACACTTGAATCACTCGGCTCCTTCCCCTAGATCCAACATCACAGACCCCGTAGACTGGGCGGCTTCGTAGTGAAAAGCATGTTCTTGCGTAACCCCTGTTTTAACCTCTAATACTGCGGAAATGCTAAAGAGAAGCACTGTCCTGCGATCTACAACCCATCACACTAGCATCAATGCTACCCAAGAATCCTCTGCCAAGGTCGTGACTAGTTCATGGTTGGGATAGTTTTAAAATCTAAAATATTGTCCTTTATTGGGTTTCAGTACCCCAAAAATCTAAAATGCTACCCAACTATGAGAAAGGTGAGTAGGAGCTTTCGCTCTGGGCCATGTACGGCGCTGCGCGCCTAGGCATCCCATCTGCAACGCTGGCGAAGAGGAGATGGGCAGCAAGGCGCCAATGAACGTGAAGAGTGTCTTCCTTCCACCAGCTTGCAGTTTTCAGGTCCGGCTCCGTTCCGGAACATCGAATGCACGAGACAGCCACTTTTTCTGCGGTAATGAGAACTGGTGGGCAGAAACGTACTAAGCCATTCACAAGTTGCTCTCTCCCAGCCTGAGGAACACAGCTCTCCGAGTTGCACCGATTCGGAGATTTTACAAACGTGAACACCCAGCACAATTAAAATGGCTGCGAGGAGCGGTACAGATCACAGTCGCCTCAAAACACCGAAAACAAGCTCTCAACATTCACTGAGAATTTCAAAAGTCGCAGTCCGTCGTGTTTCACAAGCCAACAGCTCGTGAAAATGGCACCGGTCAAAGCAAAAGTGGCCGCCATCATTACCCAGTGCTTGTCGTACATCTTGAGCATCTGCTGAGCTCTGTGAGGACCAATCCCCCATTGAGTGCACATGTAAACGTCCAGACTCGTCAGAACACACCTCCACCCCAACTTCACGAGGATGCAGACAACAGTGATGTTCGTGTGGTCCAAGCTTGTGCATTCAAAGAGATAGTAGTACCGGTTGGGGTTCCGGTCGTCCATGAGCCAAACGAGTGGCGGCAGTGCCACGACCACGGGCCAAAAGCGAGCCACATCAATCTCGCACTGTGTCCACAGCGCCCGTTTCGTTTCCGCGCTGACGCCCTGCCCCGCCTGAATGTCTGCAGTTGTGCACTTGTACAGCACGCGCAACTGCAGCAAAGAGCCGAGTGTGTCGACCAGCACAACCCCAACCAACGTCCACCATGAGTTGGTACTTGGAAACAGGATAACCTGAGCTTCTGAAGGAAGTGGTCTTAAAGCCTGGTTTCAAGGTGCTGAGCCAAGCACCTCAGAAAAAGGTCAGCACGGAGGAGACAACCAATGAATTGCCGACCTTACACAGGGAATTCTTGGGAAAAACAAGCCGACTACTTAAAGGATCATGGGACTTAGTAACTAGGTTTTTAATTCGGGTAACTCTACCTATAGCTACCTATAACCCCAATTAAGGTACTTCTAACCTGACTGACGAAGTCCCATGATCCTCCAAGTAGGCCCTAAACCCTAAACCCCACAGATCCCTTTTAGGAAACCCCTATAAATCCCTTTAAGGAGCCCTTTCAAGGAACCCTAGTTACTAAGTCCCATGATCCTCCAAGTAGAATCGGTCGAGGGCCTCGTAGTAGTGGTCGAGGCTGCAGCCGGCCCTGGGGACCAGAATGTTAAGCACCTGCAGACGATATGGGAAAAATTGGGGGTCCCTAAGGGTCCCTTAAAAGGCCACTATAAGGGATCTATAAGGGTTCTATAATAGGGATTATGGTAGGGAGTTTCCGAAAATTAGGGGTAGCTTATTTTGGGGGGTTCATATGATTAATGATCCTATTATTTAGGGTACCATATTAGGGTCCCCTATTTTCGGAAACTCCCATATCTCAACTTCTGCATGAGACTCATGTGACACAGCAACACAGATCACGAAGCTGTCTGGGAGCCTTGTCCGAGGCAAGTCCCACCGCTTCCATCACAACCCACGACACCAGCGCGCCGAAGAATTCTGCGGCGGGTGTGCTGAAGTAGGCACAGCTGAACACCACGCCACACAAGACCAGAACCGGGGCCAGTGTTAAGAAGTTGTACACGAAGACGAGAACCAGGGTCCTGAAGTTCCAATACCTTTCACCAAGTAGAACCAGGAACATCCAGTCGACCATGGCAAAGGTAGGAGGAGCTGCATAGAGCATGTTGTAAGAGTAGATCAGGTCGGTCCCCCATGGAAGCGCACACAGGAAGTATCCCGTGCACCACCCGAAGATGATCAAGGCGTAGAAGACAACCCTTTTGACCTTCTCCACATAGCTGGCCTTCTGAAGGTAGCTCATCGCACTTGACTCCGTCACGGACCTCTTCAGCATCGTCTCCCCACCCGCGCTCTTGGCAGGGGGAAGCTCCAGCAGCAGCTGCAACCGCCTGTATTGACCTGGGTCACACCATGAACCCCAAAACCCTACTACAGTAAGCGCAACAGCACACCCAGACGGCATCTCGGCACAAAAACAAGCTGTGCGTCTCAGCTTCTGCTTCTGTGCCGAGTGGCCGGAAAGGTAGTAGACAATGACGAAAAAATTGTAGCCATAGAAGAACGCCATGTTGTTGAGCGGACCTTCTCTCGGATCGTTGATGGGAATCAGCAAGGGAACCGGCACTGCGACAAGCGAGAAGAATAGTACCAGCAACAGCTGCAGCATGAGCTTCTGCTGGGAAGTGAGGCAACCCCATTCGGTTGGCGGGATGGCCTGTGTCGCGAGGCTCATGGCGTTCCTTCCGCTCAGACTCGCTGCAGGGTTTAAGGTGCGGGCTTTAGGTAGGATTCCGGGTTGCATCTCTTCCGCAGCCAAGGTGCTCGCACCTTTCTTTAAGATCCACGATCTGGTCTGCCTGCTTCTGGATCTCGGCTGCCTGCCTCTCGATCTAAGCCTCCTGCCTTGCCATCTTCTCACCCATATTGGACCTTTGCCATCGGGGTTTTTTGGGGGCCCATGTCAAGCACAAGTGTCTTGTGGGAATGGCATCTGCTGCCACAGGTGCACATGCTGTGCAAGCTCCGTGAACTCGTCAAAGCCACCCTCACCTGCAGGCACGACATGCTCACTCTGCGTTCCGATTCTCAGAACGGAATGTGCTATTCATCACCGGGCAGAAAAAGGCCCCGTCCTTCGGGGCCAAGATTCGCATCGAGCTTGGAGGCTTCGACCATTTCCACCTGGACTTCTTCAGTTGATCGAGTACAGCAGGCCATTGCAAAGCGGGGATCAAAACAGAAGGACGACTAAACTAGCCAGCTGTTGGACTCGATCGGAAAAGGGCTGCGGCGTGCAGAGACGGTGAGGTACAGCTGAGACAGCGGCGAAATCGTGAATTCCACAAGAGGTAAGCACGGCTCCTGATCAAGCGCTCCGTCTCGAAGAGCGCAAATCTGCTCTGGTACTTGCTGGTGAGGAAGACCACGTGGCTGGGCTTGGGATCCTGCGATCTGAAGTGTTAGAGCTTGGCCTTTAGACTTTGAACAGTAACTTAGGCTCTTTTAAAACGAAAGGAAAACGCCGGGCCTCAGGATTTAGAATCAGGGTTTGGCTTTGGGGTGTGGGGTTTAGGGCTGAGGCTTTTTCGGAAGGTGGGTCGGTGGATCGGTGGGTCGGCGTGAGGGGGTGGTAAGTGTGATGGGGTGTATGGCATCTAAGAGGTAGGCGGTGTTCGGGGGAGTTTGTGCGTGCACGGTTTGCAGGTGAGGGCTATGTTTTCGTTGGGGGCGTTGGGCGAGTGTAGGGAGCTGAGGTGTGGGTGGTGTGCTAGGGGGTATGGATGGAAAAGGGAGGTTTTTAGGGTACAGGCTGGGGTGGGCCGAGGCGGGGTCGCGTAACCTTTTAAACAGAATAGGTCTTGGGGGGGCATGCTATCGTATCTTGATGCTCTTACAAACTCTTTCGATCACTGTATAAACCCGAGTACAGGACAGCTTCGGGCAAGATCTTTCATCTTTGAGGCTGAGGATCTACAGTCAGGGTTTGTTGTGTTGCGTGGCCATCATGTCCGCATGAAGATCTGCCTAAGCCCTAAACAATCAAAGTTTCGGGTTTAAGGCTTAAGCCCTAAACCCTACACCCTAAACCCCTAAACCCTAAACTCTGATCCCTAAACCCTCAAAGCTTCTAAGCCCCAAACCCCTTCGGCCACCCGTGTGTTGTCGGGCATCCCCACACTTCGCCCACCTCGTCGGATCTCGAGAGACTGAGCCTCGTGGCAGCCGGGAGTGATTCGCTTTGTAGCTTAGAGATGTGATTGCTTGGGAGGTTCTTACCAAAATGATAGTGCAATAATAGAATACAATATGGGGACCTGAATAATTACCAATATGATTCCTTGAGGATTCTTACTCAAGTTATAGCAATAGAACCTGCAAGCCACTTAAGACCTTAAGCCTCATACTTCCTCCCTCAACATGCTAGTCTGGCCTTCGATGTCCTTGAGTAGCCTGGCTGCCCAGAGAATCCAGAACCTCTCAGCTAAGAAATGTCCCGTGCATGTTCCTTGGATCCCAAATCTACGAATAATAATGATGATACTTACTATATTAACAATAACAACAGCAATAACATAATACTATGATTAACAATAATACGAATACTAAGATTCAACGAAGTCTCCGGGTTGAGGCTCCAGCTTCAGAGCGATATACTAAAACAATCAGAATTACAATCATAATAGTAGTAGTACTACTACTAGTAGCAATAGTAGCAACAACAATAACGATAATATGGCACTAACAGCAATAACAATGCTAGCAATAACGTAACAATATTAAAATACAGATGCGAGTAATACTTATACCTCTAGAAATACGAACAGGTAAAAGAATATAAGAACAAACTGTTGAAATTATGACAATGACAATGCTACTGATAATAACGAGTGTTATACTTATTATTAACGACAACACATATGCAACAACAATAGGAATACGGATGTTAAAAATCAAAACACTAATGCCAATGCTAATAGTAAGGGTATATATAATAATGATATGCATAATGATTCTACGAATAACAGTAATGATGAAAAACGATGATAATAAAACTCTTAGTAGTAGCAATGTATCAATAAACTCGAAGAATAAGAGTATCAAAAATGAAAGTAACTATTTTGTAATAGTAGTAGCCATCATTATAACCAAAGTCTTGATACTATAGACTATACTTATAACACTAAAAGTAATACTAGTAATCGTGATAATATCAATGGTAATGGCACTGGTACTAGTATCAGCACTGGTAATAGTAAGCGTAGTCATACTCGTACGAAAAATCGTCATATTAACAGCCGTAGTAATAGTCGTAGCAACAGCAAAAACATTAGCTAGAATAACGGCAGACATAGTAATGATACAACTTGATATAACAGTTTTGCCAGTATTACTTGCAATAACAAAAACAAAAATCCAAATACTGCATAAAGTTAACAGTATCAAAACAATAATCTTGACAATGAAGATGCAAATTTTCAGAATAGTAGTTATTATGATTACAACAATGCAAACAATAACACCTATGACAACAACAACAATCACACATATAGTAGTCATAATCGTAATAATAAAAATAGAAAACAAAGAGAATAGGTGGTTCATCCGAGTTGGACAAACCTGCAGCCACAAGTCCGGCCATGCCATCAAGACCGAAGTATTACATCAATAATAAGAAGAAGATTATAAGAAAAAAAAGAATATTAATAGCAATATTATTGGTCGTAGTAATGGTAGTAGCAATAGGAAAAATAATAGCTATAATCCTAGCAATAATAGCAACAAGACAAGCCGAGGGCGAAGGCAGCCGTCTTCACGGTCCCACTTTTGGTTTTTCTTGAACTACAGGGTGGGAGGCCAAAAGGGGGGGGTTTAAGATTCTTGGGGTAGGGATTCCTTAATATAAACCCTATTATGGGAACCCTCATCCCTACTAAACTCCCATAGGCTAAAACCCCTTTTGGCCTCCTATGAGTGTAGGGTTTGCGGTGGAATGGCGCATAGGCAACAGCATCTTGCGACAAGGCCATGACAAGGCTGCAAGGAGTGCACCATACTATGGCGATGAAACCTATGGTTAAACGGTTGCAACGGTAGGGAAGGGCAGGGCAGGGCAGCGCAAGGGGGCCATGGCTCTCCTATAGGGTCGCAAAACGAGACTTCATTAAGGGACCAGTACGGTCCTACGGTCCCGCCTGACAGGCTGGCTTACGAGCCGACCCACGACAGAGGGACGGCAGGGTATATGGCGCAGGGTTACGGTTATAGGCCAAGATTCATGACTACGGCAACCTGAAACTGAAAGTGTCACGCTCCCATCAGGGGTTAGGAGTTTACGGCTTACGGGTCATCTAGTTTCTAGTTGCTGCGTGGGAGTGTACAGAAGGCTGGGCCACAAACTCTCGAAGCCCCGCGAAAACCGTAGACGCCGCAAAGGAAACTTCGAAACTCAGCTATCCCAAGGGCTGAACCCGAAACGCTGCAGCCTTCGACCATAAACTGAAAGCGGCGAAGGGACCATGCCCAAAGAGCTGCGGTCATGAACAGAATGAGGCCCGCCACCACCTCGTACTACTTACTACTACTTACTACTACAAGTACTTACTACTACTTACTACTAGTACTAGTACTACTGCTACTACTACTACTACTGCTACTACAAGTAGCACCACCACCACCCCACCACGACCACAACTACCAAGAGTGCCACTACTACTACGATGACGATGGCGACAATGACAATGCCTGTGCAAGCAACCGCGACAACAACGACCACCATTACTACAATTGTCGACACTGCTGCTATTCTTTATGTTCCTGTCCATGCCTGCAGTCGCGGTAGTACGATAATGGTCATCACGAAGACCCTAGCGACGCTCTCAAGTGACGAAGCTTCAGCACCCGGAGAGGCAAGCAAAGAACGCACATGCACTCACAACTTGTTTTGGCTACAGCAGACAAAGCTCAAAGGGGCCCCCTGGTCAGAGCCGATAGGGCCCACAGGTCAAGCGTCACACGCCAGCGGTACACTGATTCACAGCTTCCCGAAATCTAAAATTGACCTGTGCCCGCTAGCGTGGTTTCACTCGTCCTTGATCTCGGCGCTCCTTTCGGTCTATCATGCGCTCCTCTTCTGCCACCAAGCGGTACGTGCCCTTCTGGAGGAGCTGCAGCATGGCCGTCTTATTGGCGCCGACTTTTGTAAGACAGTCGGCAATCATAGACTGATGCTCCACCCAGCGCACCCTCACACCGAGACCGTCTATGCGCTCTCTGGCGATGCTCACGTCCAGTGCCGTGAACTTGTCCTGCGCTTGGGAGCCATCACGAGTCAGGTGGTCATACAGCGACTTTGCGTCCACTATGGAGAGCGCCCACCGCAGTTCATCATCACTGTCGGCGCGTTGCAACACCAGCTCGGCCTTGCGTTTCACACTCTCCTTGAACTCCACTAGGTCGAAGTTCTCCTGCAGGAGCTCGTAGTAGATGGCCTTAGCCCACATGAGGTCGCCGAGGCCCTTCAGCAACGACTGAGTCTCCGCCGCCAAAGTGGAATTGATCTTTCGCCTCAGCTTGCCGCTCTTCCACCACACTAAGCTGCAACTCGCCACACAGCCATCCAGCAGGTCCTGGTCGAACGCCAGGATCACGACCGCCCCCTGGGAAGATCCATCAGGGTGGTTAACGTAGCTCGCATCCGTGGCCGTACCCCAACATAGCCTCTCTGGGGCTATCGGGTGGTAGGTCAACTCCAGCTTCGCATTCGCCTTGGCCTCTTGCACTGCCTTGTTCAGCGAGGTGAGGTCCTTCACCTGGAGCTTGCTCAGCTTGGAAGCCATGATGCTTGCCGTCGCCGCTAAGTCTGGCCGCCCTTCTTTCGCGGCCCAAGCAATGGACCCGATCAGCCCTCGTGCGGCTGATTTCTCCACCTCGTTGGCTGCTTCTTCTGGTCGGCTGCGCCGCCCCACCGCGATTGTCATCGGCGACAACCTTTCCAGGATGAACTTCTCCATGCTCACGGTGATCTTGCCGTCGGGGTACTGCTGCAGGAACCGGCCGTTGAACATCGTGCCCTCGCTGAGGTCCTTGAACTTGCCGAAGTGGAACCTCTCTCGAAGACGAGCTAGGCGCATGGCATGTTCCTGGCCGCCAAAACACAAGAGGTCATCGACCTCTATATTGATTAGCCCTTCCAGAGAGCCGCCACAGAACAGCTTGTACACAGTTGGGTCCAAACGTGACTGGCGGTATCCCAGGTCCTTGGTGATAAAGCCGGTAAGCGTCTTGCGCCAGTGGGCTGGCCCATCGATCAAGCCGTAAACCCCGGCCACGATCTCCACCAGTTGGCCTGGCAACATGTTCGGCAGACCGCCCCGCGGCTGACGGAAGTAGAGCTTGCCCTGCACCCTGAGCAATGGATTCGACTGGGTGAAGGCTGCCTTGAGATCGCCACAGGTGCCCTTCAGCTTGTGGCTCGCCGCCAGCTGCAAGATCACCTGCAGGTTCTGTGTGTTCACCGTGGGTGCGTAGGCCTCCAGCTCGCCGCTGTCGGGGTCTTGGTCCCCTCGCACACAAAACCGACTCTTTAGGGAAGGCGCTTCGCCCACAACCTCCGATGGCTTGCGTCGCCTAACGAAGCGCGAGTCGATGATCCCGAAAGTCCGTCTCCTTGCGCTTCCCTAGACATGCTTCCGGAAACTGCCATCCACAACTGCCAAAGTCAACTATGCTCACTGCGGCGTGGCCCGACGGGAGAGTAGTCATAGGAGCTTCGGAGTTCACAAAGGTGAGGCGTAGAACATTGGAGGGGAGGTCGATCACCGAACCAAGGGCCCTAAGAAGACTGATCGGGATCAGCAGCGGCACGTCATCCGACACCACCGTGGCCTCGAGTACCCCCGGCGTCCCACCAATCCCCAAAGGAATCTCACAGACGCCGATGGTGCGAGCCTGGCCCCCGATCCCTCGAGCACACGACTGTTTGTCAACCCAATGGATCTGGAGGTGAAGGCCGGCCGCCCTATCAGGCCCTCTTGGGCCGCCGTATCGACAAGCGCCTGGGACTCGTTGGTGACAATGCCGATAAAGGGTGCAACATCGGTCCGGCCTTTTTCCTGGGTCGCCCGCAACGCTTCTCCAAAGGTGAAGAAAGAAGCCCCCGAACTCGCGGCTGCCCCACTGTTCCAATAGAAGCTTGAAGCCTTCGAGGGGGAACCTGAAGAAGTGGAGCCCGGCGGCCTTTGGCCAGTAGAGCTTGGCTGCTCCGAGCGACCCTGCCGACACTCTCTGGACCAATGTCCCACTTGGCCGCACGTACGGCAGCGGGTCCTCAACTTGAGCTCTTCTATGTGAAGCCGGCGCTGCCCTGACCCTTTTCCGTGCTTGTCGAACTTGCCCTTGCCAGACGACTTGCCCTTCTGATCAGCCGGCCGTCCCTTCGGGAAGAAACCTCGGCCCTTGCGCTGGTCCTTCAGTTGTTGCCGCACCTGCTGATACGAAGCCAAGGCATCCATCACCTCGTCCTCGTCCAGCACCTGGTCCAGCTCTCCCTCCTGGATGTAGACAAACTGGTCGTCGTCTTCGTCGTCCTCTTCCTCCTCTGGCTGCCCCGCGTCGTAGTAGACTTCGGCCGCTGGCTCCCCATCCAGGCTGCCATCCCCGGCCGGCTCGCCGAAGTAGATGCCCTTTCCGTCCGCCTTGACCCGCTCGAGCTTCCGAAGGTTCCGGGTCACGACTGCCACGTCAAAGTCGCCGGCCAGCCAGGTGAGCAACTTGCCGTCGTCCTCGGCTGCCAAGTTGCTCTGGCGGTACAACAGGTAGCCCTCGGCCTTCTTGGGCAGCGTCACGCCCTCTGCCTTGAGCGCCGTCTGGGCCTTCTGAAACCGGACAAGGTAGTCGGCCACCGTCTCCTTGGCAGACCTCGGTGGCCCAAAGAAGGCCGCCTCCATAGCCCTGGGAAGAGCCGTCTCCGTGTAAGGCTCGAAGGCCTCCTTCAGCTTGGCCACCACGTTGGTGTATCCGGTCTCGCCCTTGATGTCCTTGACTTCCATGGAGTCCACGGCCGCCTTCGCCGTGTGGGTAAGAACTTGCACCAACTTCAAGCCTTGCTTTTCTTTTGGGACGTCCGTGCAAGCTTGCCATAACTCCAGGTCTCTCAAGTACTGCTTGAAAGTTCCCTGCGGGTTGTTGCCCGAATATGCTGGCGGTGGGTCCTTATCGCGATAAACCCAGCCGGTTCCTCCTTCCGCCTCCTGAGCCATGCCTCACAACAGCTGCTCAGCCCTGCCAGCGCGGCACCGAAGATCTTCAGGTCGCGAAGGTAATCGAGGAAGGTCCGGGGGTTCAGGAACCGCCAGCTCCGCGTGGTTCTCCTGGATCGCGTCGCACACAACCAGGCTCCGGTGCCAACTGACGAAGCTTCAGCACCCGGAGAGGCAAGCAAAGAACGCACATGCACTCACAACTTGTTTTGGCTACAGCAGACAAAGCTCAAAGGGGCCCCCTGGTCAGAGCCGATAGGGCCCACAGGTCAAGCGTCACACGCCAGCGGTACGCTGATTCACACAAGATAAGATAATTGTTCAGTCGAACTCACCGTCGTCGCCGTCGCCGTCGTCATCATCGTTGGCATTATTGTCATCGTCATCGTCGTCGTCGATTTCTAGTCTTGTTTGTTGCATAGGTATACAGATGCATGGTAGCAAAGCAGCTGGACAGATACATAGATAGATAGACAGCTGGATGAACGAATAGATAGATTGGCAGACAGATGGTTAGCCAAACTGCCAGACATTTCAGAGCTCCCAGCATACAAAATGCAAGTCTAGATCTGAGGACATCTAGCAAGAGGAAGGCGGAATCCCTCCAAACACAATACAGTGGTAGGCCTGAAAACTTGAGATCCTTACAGCCCTGCTAAATGCCAGTGATGCTAATGATGATTAATGACGTCGTACATCTGGGGCCAGGGTTCCGAAAGCGCCAGAGTCTCTGTCTGCGGGTTCTTGACTGAAACACGCAAATTGAAAAACTGCAACATTTAAAGCGACCTTTGACATGCCTCCCGACTCTCAGTTCGAGAGTTCAGGGTTTACGGATTTCTGCACCGACATCTCAACAAAACCCAGCCGGAGGCCTGAACCGCTCAACTCCAACCTTGCCCCCTTGCCCCAAGGACCACCTGCGTCGCAACCGCGAGCCCGGCACTTCCAGGAAGGAACGGGCAATGAAGGCCGTGGAACCCCGAGGCGTCATCTCGCTGCAGGCGGTAACCTGAGACTTTCGTAGGTTTTCGGGCTCAGGGTCCTACGGTCTATATAGCCCACGACTCTTACATTCACATCTCAAACCAAATGCAGTCTTGACCATTCTGGGGTCCTCTTGCTGGTTCGAGTTGCACTTGGGGATACGACCTAACCCTGAGCTCCTAAACCCGAAGCTCCTAAACCCTGAACTCCTAAATCCTAAACCCTAAGCTCCTAAACCCTAAACGCCTAAACCGGAAACACCAAGCTCCTAAACCCCAAAACTCCTAAGCCCTAAAGTGTATACCCACAAATAAGCCTGGGCCCCGGGCACACCAGGTACTTCCCGAAGTCGGCAGCTATTGTGGGCAGGAAGCAGTTCATGCCTCCATCATGGCCCAAATCGGCTTGCGGGCTAATTCTCGCAAGGCGGGAGGGGATCTTAGCAAAGGAGTGGGCTTGCAGTATAAACGGACACACATACACATGTATACTACAGGCAGACAGAAAGGCAGGCACAGAGAGAGAGAGAGAGGGAGAGCCAGCCAGTTAACTAACTAGCCAGCCAGCCAGCTGCAAAGAGGTAGGTAAATAGGTAGGCAGTCAGGCAGGCAGGCGGCCCGGGGTGGGTAGGTAAGTAGACAAGTAGAATAGCAGATAGGTAGCTAGGCGACTAGGAGGATAGGTAGATAGATAGACAGATTAGGTATACGAGTACACAGACACAAAGATATATCCGTATGCGTATACACATACGGCACATACATGTGCAAATGCATAAATATGTGCATAACATAACCATGTACATACACAAATACATGCAGAACTGCACCCATGTGCACGTAGCTACATATGTGTGCGTGTGTGTATATACATCTACGCATAAGTAGATATGTATGTGTGGATATATATGGAAAGATATATGTGCATACATAGATTCGTCCTCCATGCATGCATTCATGCATGCCGTAGGTCGTAGGTCGTAGGTCTGTATGTCTGCATACATGTTACCTAGGTCCTGCATGTGCACATGCGTCACCACAGCTGTTTGCGAACACACGAATGAGCATGCATAGATCTTTTGAGAGCAATCGTGATTCGCGGGTGCACTCGACCCTAAGCCAGCTAAGGCTTTGGGGTTTAGGATTTACTAGGCGATAGCTTCATAGTTGAATTAGCGGATAGATGCGCAAAGCACAGGAGTTTCTCGGATCAATGAAGCAACTCCTCGAACTCGAACTTGACACTTGGACTGACAGTCCATTGCTCCATGCAGCGAGGATTGCTGTGTCGAGGGTATCTCCAGCTGCTTACACGCTCAGGCCTGCGATGAGTGCAACACGAGAATCCTTCATCAAGGACAGCGATGACATGAGCCCGGCTGCCACAACCTTCAGGGCTGTCGGAGATTGATTCCTTCAAGCCCCAAGCAAGGCCCGTACAGAGAGTAGCAACTCCACAGTTGTGTTGGAAGCCCAGAAGACAAGGCATACCAATCAACTATTCATTGTACTCTCAAAGGCTGCTTGAAGACTCCAGGACCACGCCCCTGAAACTGTAGCCATAGCTATAATGACAATAGTGATAGCAGTAGGTCCCGGTTCAAAGAACCCCACCAAGGATAGTGTGGCCCAGCGACGACATCCAGCAGGTGAGTGCCCCATCTGAGTCGCAGTCCGCACAACAGCTACAACAACTACGGAGTCTTCACATCTGCGCAGCCGAAGCCGTACACCCACAGCCTGTGAAGCAGTCAAGTCAAAGAGGGTCTATCGAACAGGAAATCCTGCGACCAAGCCACAAAGTCTTCTCGTAGCCGACGTAGGACAAGAGACACTGCGAGGAGGCGCTGTGTAAAGATCCTGGCGGGAGCTGCTGAGTCACTCCTACAGACCGACGGGCCTGTGAACGCCTCGTGAGAGCCTGGGTGGGATAGGGTCTAGGGTTCAGGATTTCAAGTTGCGAGTTTCGGGTTATGGGCATAGGGTTTATAGAGTTTAGGGTTTCAAAGAGGCTGCCCTGGTTTCTGATCAGGCGGGATGAAGGCGGGCTAAGTCGGAATCTTGCCCGGGGCAGTGCGATCCATCTTGGGCTAAGCATGCTTCTCTCTCTGCTGCTAGGGTTTACGGTTTAGGGTTTAGGGTTTAGGGGGGTTCCAGCCGACACGAAAAACGGACCTTCTGCTAGCTTCAGAGTTTAAGGTTCAGGCTTCTCGGAGGCTCGGGTTTGCGGCTGCGAGTTTAGTTCTCCGAACCTCAGCCCCGCGCCCTGACTCTCTGAAGGGCATGTCCTTGTCCGGAAGCTGTCTCGGCCGTGTACGCAGCCGCGTTGAAGAAGAAGTTCGCCTTGAATCGAGGCCCATGGAGAGATAAGACGAGATGATGAAATGTGATCTGATATGATATTATATATTCCATGATGTTATCTGCAGGGAGAAAGCACCGAAATGCCAGCGGGGCGGCAGCATCGCTTTTGATGTCCTTCGCCGTCTGGGTCTGCAGCACGGCAGCCAGGATCCTGGCCACTCGCCACAAGAATTCTGGATTCCGGAAAACCCCAACACCTAAAAAATTGAGGGTTGAGGGCTTAGGATTTAGGGTTAAGGGTTTTGGGTGTTTAGGCCTTTAGACTTTTCGGGTAAACCAAAGCCCATAAAGCCCCTGATGTGCCGACAAGTGTCGTGTTGGAGATGGTGGCAAAGGCCATCAGCTGGTTCAGGTAGATGCTGCTTTGCTTCAAGTCCCCAGCCTGAAGTCCGTAGCGCAGGTAAGGTTGGGTTCGGGCTTCAGAGCTCTCCGTCATGGGTTCCAGTGATGTTAGTGCGTTGGATGGCTTCGAGCTAGATGGCTTTAGGGCTTGGGTCATGCCAAGCGTCCTTCTTGGCTCCCAGGGCGCTGAGAGCTCCGAGTGCGAAGAGGAAGGTGCGCTGAGACAGGAACGTGATCCACTGCACCGCCTGCATCGGCTTTGAACAAAGGGACTTCTACATCCCTTGACCATGGGTCCCCTTACTGAAAGGGTTGTGTCGGAATTTACAAGGTTTGCTATTCTTTTATGAACTTAATATCCCTTAGATATGACTTCCTTGTCAAGGGTCCCTGCCGTAATGAAGGGATAGTCTATATGTGACGAACTGAACTGGCCTTCCGCAAAAACCAGCATTTGCATAGAAGAAGGCTTCTGAACATGCTCCAGCCAATTGTCGCAAGAACTAGATGCGGCATCTGTCTGGTTGCATAAACCCTAAACCCTAAAGGGTTTAGGGTGTGTGATAAGAATGTCCTGCCTGCACACGACGGTCTTTGCTGCAGGCAGTGCCTCGGCAGCATGCTGCCGCACTACAAGCCGTCTTGCCACGAAGAACAACCGGATTCTTTGGTCTTCTTACTGAGGCAGTGGTTCAGAATGCAGCTGATGGAGCGAGAAGTGTCGATTAGGATTAAGAGGGTTGGATTGGAAGTTCGAAGGCGCTCGGCGCTCGCGACCAGTCGCAGGGGCCTAGGAGGAGGTGACAGCCGCAGCGAGCAGCAGGGAGCAGCACGCAAGGCTGCACAAAGCTGGGCTGCAGGCCCTGCGGCTTTCTTACTAAGGGCTGTGCCTACTTGGTCTGCGACGTGATATGTCAATGGAAGGAGCATCGCACCAGGTCACCAACGTGATTGCACCGGCATGTCCGAGAAGCCAGATGTCTAGAATCTGGAACCCCAGGCCGCAATTCTGACGGCCAACATCATTTCCCAACACTGGAATTCGGGAATTCTGAGCTGCGGCTGCATGCTGCTTCGAAGCACGAATGTTAACTGCTTTAGCTGCAAAAAATGAGCAGTGTGAAGCCCGGCCAGAAATAACATGTTGATGCCAAAGGTTCGGAAGGTCTGCAAACTACAGACAATTAAACAGAGCCCCCAAAGCTTGAAAGTCCAGGTGGGGCAAGGAGCACGAGAACACACTGCTGTCCGCCATGGCATACTCATGGCTGCAGCTCGTGCAGCCTTGGCTCCGATAGCCTTGGCTTCGTCAGTTTCCAATTGTGCTTACCTCTGCTTCAAATTTGGGGTCAAAGGTGGCATGGCAAGGCTCACAAAACGCGCGAGTCAGAAGACTCTAATGACAGAAATATCGTGGCTTTTTGCTAGAGTATCTATAGCTTTGGGGTCTACTATGATCGTAATCTACACATCATGAGGAACACTCTCTTCAGGCTTGTACATGACCTCTATAAACTATAAACCGGAACCCAAAGCCGCAGTCGAACCTAAACCCCTTGGAGCTCAGGCAGCCATCTGCGCACATTGCCAGGTGCACCCTTCCCTGGGATACATCGCCCCCGGGGCAGGCAGCCTCAGGGATGGATTTCGTGGCTTCTGGGGTGTTCAGCCAAGCTCAACGTCATAGGGTGTGGTGTAGGTGCTCTACTGTGTTGATGGTTGATGGGCACTTCATCCTCTCATGCATGTGTGGCCGAAGGCCGAAAAATCAACAGCATCTAGTAAGAGACTGCAAGGGTTTGGCGTCTCTCAAAACTTTAGACCCCAACAAAACCTGTAGAACCCTTACAGATGCCTTATAGAAGATTTCTATAGACCCCATATTATAGAGTCCCTTGAAGGGACCCCTTATAGAAACCCCCTAGAGTCATAAAATCCTTACAGGGATCCCTAATCTTCCCAGCCTCGTTAGGACAGTGGAAGCTGCGGTTGACGTTCTCTAATTCCACCATGAGCCCGGGCCTCAGTCTCTAGGGGCTTTTGAAGGTTAAGGGTTAGAGGGGTTTGGGGTTTTGGTTTAGGGGTCGGCGGTGTACTGGGCTTTTGTGCAAGGTTAGTTGGGGTATATTCCTGGCCTGCCTCCTCCTTTTGCGTGGATTGAAGAAATACTGCTCAGAAAACGAAATTTGTCAAATGCATGCTCGGAAGATGCTGCTGCCTCCGTTCGAATGACTGCTTGGAAAACAAATGGTTTAAATGAAGTAGAGCTTCCCACTTAATTGACTGTTCTCTTTCGTGGGGCTGCCCTTGTATCGCCAATCGGCCAGGTTTGGACCCAACACCCAAAAGCCAAAACCCAAACCCAAAAGCTTCTAGCTGGTCAATGTATAGGACAAGGAACTCCATCTTCAGCTCGCTGGCCAAGCACTTAGAAGCCCCTTCGGGGCACTGACTGCACGGCCTGGAGACGCACTCGATATCTGAAACATCCGGCACAAAACCGCTCACAAATACTGCTGGAAGTGGAAAGCCACTTCGGAGATGGTATGCTCTCCACGGCTGGCGAGAACTATATGGTTCGTTCTGGACTGACATTGTGGGCTGCGAGTCGCGGCGAAGCTGCAGGTGTTTTAGTTTAGGCTTAGTGGCTTGAACCACAAACGATTGAACAGCAAACCCAGGATCACAACAGCCTCCTTCCAACCTGATGAATGTCCCCATTCGATCTTAACACGGCAGGCCTTGCCGTCATGTTCAGAACCTGCGTGTCCCCTGGCCGGCATGCCTGGCGGGTCTTGTACGATCCCGTCTTTGACTTCTACAGGAAATTCGCGGTAGGTTCGGTTCTATGTCCTGTATCTGGCTACGAAAGCATTGTCAAGGTCGGCTTTCGCCGACCTCAGTCGCAAAGAGACACGCGCGGCGTCACAAGTCACAAGATATCCTAGAAGATTTCTCCTGCGCGCCTAGTGGGAGCTCCACAGGGCTCCGAACACCGGGCTCTACACTTCAAGCCAACGCAGGCCAGCGATACCAGGCAGCCGAAATCATGCAGCTCTTCGAAATCCACCGACCCTGTGCCCAAAGGGCAAAGGAAGGTGGCACTTCTGGCGGCGTTCGCATAGAACGTGCCTGGATGGGAATGCTTCTCGTCTGGTCAACTCAGGGCTGAAACCTGCAGGCAAAGCTCGCAATGCAGTCCAGTTGCAAGTAGAGGTGCTCGTACAATTCATCACGTCGTCCTCACTGCACCAGAACGACAGGACTTCCTAACAGTCCCTCCTTTGCATGACATCAACATGCCTCCGAGTTTCTACAGACAGGTTATGTGCTGAGATGTAGATGCCGGAGCTCGACTCGGTACTCAGGTTAGCCGAGTCGAGCTTCAAGAGGCCTGCCGCGGCAGGATGCTTGCAACTCATGAACTTGATCCTCGAAACGACTCTCAGGCTCTTGACAAGAACTCGAGTGATGTGAGAGGGGAAAGAAGAGAAAGAGAGACAGACGCAAAGAGACGGGGTGAGGGAATCTTGGAACGACAAGAAAATTTGAGCATAGTCAAAATGTCCGAAACACCGCTGTCTTCGCTGTGGAAGGGATATGACCGAGCATGTGGCCAAGAAAAAACGATGGCTGTCGCAAGTTGGAGGCACGCAAACTCCTCACGATCTGTGACCATTCGCAACAGCAGATACATCACCACGTGTGCAAATGCCCCCGGGGTGCGTCTTGTATGGAATTGGTCTTCTGCTTTGTTATAACAACAGGTTAAGATATCATGTTTCCTATGAATCCGTAGATGAATGATATCAACTTAAATCACCTCATGAGTTTCTTCCTGTATTTGTGCTTGCTTCACTGTTCTTGTGTAATTCACATGTCATTTTTTTGTTTTTCGTGCAGCGCGCTTGATGAGAAAACGATTGTGAGTGACTGTGCATAGTTGATTGTGCTGTGTGCAACCCTGTCTCTATCAGATTTAATCGGCAGTTGTTGAAAGTCTTGTCAGTGTCCAATCAGGGCTGCCCTACATCTGAAACATGGACGATGCTCGTCAAGATTTGTTGATACAGACGGGGACGCCAGTCTGCGTACCTGCAATGCCGTCCAACAAGTGCCTCTATGCTTCTATGCAAATGCTCTGGTTTCGGCATTCTATCCGCGACGTACTGCCTGTGCGGCTGAACTCCTTTATCTCTGACTTATCAGAGGGAGGATTACACAGTAACACCGCAAGAACGAACAACCAAATTAAGAGCAAGCGCAAGCAAAGTAAGAAATACATGAGTAACTGCAAGATTAAATATGATTCTTTTCTGTGAAATCTCCGCGTATCGACGGGAGTATCACGCACGAGGATCCAGCTGTTCTGTTTAAGATACCGTCATGATGTTAAAGCACACAAAGAGGATCGCTGCCGCAGGTAGCAGCTAGCCCTCGCAAACCCACAGCACGACGAAAATGCTCGTGCGAGCGCAACTCAGAAGGTTACCACAGTTGCAAGAAACGGGCACCAGCAGTGGACGGGCCACTAGGTAGCCAACCTTCTGCCCTGTAAACCCCTAAACCCTAAACCCCCAAACCCCTAGACCCTAAACCCTGCGGGGAGCAGACCAACCCAAAACGCCAACAAACCACAGCAAGAAGCAACGGTGCATTTAGGATTCTAGGATTAGAGGGTTTAGGGTTTTGGGGTTTCGGATGAAGGGTTTAGGGGACTCAGCTGTGTCTGAAAACTGCATTGAATGAGAGATTTTGGCCTGCGACTGCGATGTCGTTGACATTCCCTTCGCTGCCCCTCGACAGTGAGAGCTCCTGAGGTCAACTGCCGTGACAGCACGCTTGCTGAAAGGCATGTGGTCTGGCTGGAGAAGCCCTTTCAAACTCACTCGCTCCCATGTGGTAGATGATGTACAACATGTTGTATGTAATATTTCATGTACCGTTTATTCTTCTGCTATAAGTAAACATTATCTACTTTTGATGTGCTTACAGGCTGACGTAAGGGGCATGATGCGGAAGGTGTTTGTGACCCGCGCCTCAAGTTACTGATGTCCACCAGAGAAAACTTTGCATACTCACATTCTGAATCCCGTCCTCGATTCGCACTTCCGCTTCTGTGCCATTGGCTGCAATTGCAGCGAAGGCAGCTGCAGCCATGTCAGCATCGCAACGATCAAGAAGCAGCTTGCGAAAGTGTCCTGAATCATCAGCGTTCACTGATTCACTGAGAGGGCTTCAATCAGCATGGAGAACGGTTCAGGCATCCTAGTGCGAAGCGGTAGGATGGAAGCACCGCTTTTCTTTCGTTCCTTTGACTTGTTCGCTTGCTTGTGATGCTTTCCATCACCCACATAATTGATTTAGCTTCACTGGTGTTTACTACTTGCTGAACTCAAGCATCCCCAGCAAAGGAGGCTCTTGAAAGGCTTGCCCACCAGCACCGTCTCCGGCTGGCGCACCCGTTTGGGGATGAGAGTTCGACATGAGTGCCTTTAAAACACTAATACAGTCACAACAATAGTCATGAGTCATGAGTCACAATAGCAATGAGTAGCAATACTGATAAAAGCAACGGATTTGAGCTTCGGTGTTGGCCGGGTCCCGCGAGGTTTGCTCTCCGCGCTTTACTTTGGAGATTCGGTCTCAAGCAAGTGCCTGTGGTGACAGCACGGGTGCTACTCAACTGCTCCCGGCACGTGAGTGAGTCACAGCCGACTAAACTTTGCAGGGCGCTGCATGTCAGAAACCCGACACCCCGACCCCAAAAGACGCGCTCAGAAGAAGCAGCATGTTGGACAACGGATGCTTGCAAGCCACCCGATCCACCCGAGTCTCCAAGGAAAGGAAACGAAGACAGGACAGCGAACATGCGGGTTTCAAGTCTGTCGTCCTTTGCCGGCATCCATGTAAATCCCACCGCCGATGCTGCTGGCATTGCACGCCTTCCAGTTTCCGCTTTCTCTGCTCACTACCCGTACCCCAAACCTCCAGCAACTTCCACCACCTGTCATATTTCCTCTCAGGCTCCAAGAACTCGAGGAATCTCCGGCTAAGGTCATTCTGGCCCGACCAAAAATCCGAAGTAGTGGCGTAAATCCTGTACATCCTAAACCCCTAACCGCCCTAACCCTGCAGCCGAAAAAAATGACCCCTTACCCTGAACCCTTGAGCACCAAAGTGCCGAGCACCCTAAACCACCGGCCTTGAAAGCGAGAGAACCGCCGTGATGTACTTGGCCGCCGTGGGTGATGCTCAGGCCGCCGCCTGTGCCCAGGCCAAAATGTCCGAGTAGTAGGTTTAGGGCTTGTTGGCACCAATCCCTTCTGCAGAAAACGTAAAGCCTGATAGGCAAAGTCCACCCCACAGCTAGCTGCTAGTATGGTCCATCACGCCACCACGATCGGCCCAAGGCAGTTCCAACAGAGCCTGGGCCTGGGACAGGTTGGGAGTTCCAGAGTTCCCAGCCTGCGCGTGCCCGGCATGTCTTGAAGTGCATGGAACCATTGCCGTCGAGGTTGTCGGTGACGACACCGCCTCCGTCCCCTCAGCAGTCAGAGATACAGAGCAAACTTCAATGAGTGTGTTGACGCCATGTCCTTAACCAACGGCCTAGTGCCAAAAACAACCAAGGCTTCTGACACCTAGCCCAATCTGTTTACCAATGCACACATACGCTTACGGTCACTGATGACCGTGCGGCCACCTTGTTCCGATCTGCGACATCCCCAATCTACAGCCTCGACTGCCAAGGTGCGATCTGCCGAGCAGTGCTGGAAGAGCACCGAACTGCCGGCTTCCTGCCGGTAGCTAACTGAAGCATAGAGGCCGCCTCCTTGGTTCGCCAGCAGGCTCTGAAACTGCAGTCAGAGGCTGCGATGTGTCTGTGTGGCCAGCGCGCAATGGCAACAACCCCTAAAATCCCTCCAAAAAGCTGAAATCTGAAGAGCCCACAACCCGATACTTACCATCAACCCCACACGCTGGACTCTGTTTTTTCCACACATTTGCTTGAACGGGGGCTGTTCCTGTCCTTGCATGCCCAACGGAGTGGGCGTCGGAAGGTTCCCAGCATGCTTTCTCTGGCGACAGTCACAAGAACACTGCTGCTCAGGCTCCGGACGTTCCCGCACTGCAGCTGCGGAAGATGGCGGAGCTGTTGGGGCCCTGCGTGAAGTTGAACAACACACGTGCACCGCCGCCGGAACCTGGGAGACAGCGCGGGCTCAGACCCGTCGTGGCCTTAATTCAAGGGCTTGCTATGTAAAACGACCGAAGCACGAGGGCTACCGGATGCAACAGAAGGTCTAGTGGACGTGCAGTTCTCGAAGGTCACCGAGCTTTGTGCTTCCTGGGCAAAGCTGCCGTCAGTGTGGAGGCCACCTCCTTGGGGCAAGCAAACTCAAGAATGCAGTCAGAGGCTCCTAAATGTTCCTGCAACGGCCACAGCACAACCATCCCGCAAGCCCCACACCCTCAATCCCAGACCCTGAATTGTGTTCCACACGTTTGATTGCAGGGTCAGTCCCGCTGAACAAGTGAGGGCCTGCATGGCTCAAGTATGAAAGGCTCCCAGCACACTCCCACTGGCGACAGTCACAAGAACACTGCAGCCTCGACTCCATCGTTAGTCGCACTGCAGCTGCGGAAGAAAGCGGAGCTGTTGGGTCCCTGTGTGAAGTTTTCCTTCAACCATGCACCACCGCCGGAACCTGGGAGACAACACGGAATCAGACCCGTCGCATTGCATGCAGTGGCCTTCTGCAAAAAATGCCCAAAACACTGTGCCTTTCAACAGGGACGCGCACAGTTTTACTATGTCCTTCCTGCCTGACATCCCCCGTCTTCGAAGCTCTGCCCCGAAGAACACATTGCGTGGAACCAGGCCTTCAACTCCCCCACACATAGATACCCAGAGGGCTACGGGATGCAACCGACGTGCAGTTCTCGAAGGTCACCGTGCTTTCTGCTTCTTGGGAGAAGCTGCCAGTGGCAGAGAATAGGCCACCTCCTTCGGGCACTCCAAAATGCAATGAGAGGCTCCAAAATGTTCCTGCAACGCAGCCCAACCATCCCGCAAGCCCCACACCCTCAATCCCAGATGCTGAATTGTGTTACGTGCGTTTGATTCCAGGGTTGGTCCCGCGGAGCAAGTGGGGGCTTACATGGCTTAAGTATGGAAGGCTGCCAGCACGCTCCCATTGGCGACAGTTACAAGAACGCTGCTGCCCAGGCTCCAGACGTTCCCGCACTGCAGCTGCAGAAGAAAGCGGAGCTGCTGGGTCCCTGAGTGAAGCTTCCCTCCAACCTTGCACCGCCGCCGTAACCTGGGAGAATGACCCGTGGCATTGCATGCGGTGGCCTTCTGCAAAAAATACCCAAAACACTGTGCCTTTCAACAGGGACGCGCATAGTTTTACTA